CTGATGCAGTTAAGCAGCTGTATCTTCAATACGCAAAATTGGAGGAGGATTATGGTCTAGCAAAGCGAGCTATGAAGGTCTATGATGAGGCAACCCAGGCAGTACCAAATGAAGAAAAACTAAGCATGTATGAGATATACATTGCTCGTGCTGCTGAGATATTTGGTGTCCCTAAAACAAGAGAAATCTATGAGCAGGCCATAGAGTCTGGTCTTGCAGATAAGGATGTGAAGACAATGTGTTTGAAATATGCAGATCTAGAAAAGAGCTTGGGAGAAATTGACCGAGCTAGGGGAATATATGTGTTTGCATCTCAATTTGCAGATCCACGCACTGATGGTGATTTTTGGAATAAGTGGCGTGAGTTTGAGGTTCAGCATGGAAATGAAGATACCTCCAGAGAAATGCTGCGAATCAAAAGAAGTGTTTCTGCAAGTTATAGCCAGGTAAGCCTTTATGAGAAAAACGTTCCATTTAGTTTTTTGATACATTATATGGGTCTTTCCTTTTATTCATAAAGAATCTTTTGGATTCCCGTTTAGTTTTTAGATACTGTTCATGGTATAAATACAAAAGCTTCCCATTTAGCTTTAAGATACGTTATCTGGGTTTATCATTTTATTCTTGCCTAATCTTGAGAATTCTAGTTGAGATTTGCTTTTCATCTTTTATTCTAAGTCTCTTTTTTGTTGATTGTCCAGACACACTTCATTCTGCCAGAGTACATGATGCAGAAAAATCAGTCATTGACCCTTGATGATGCAAAGGATAAATTGAAGCAGGCAGGTGTCCCGGAAGATGAGATGGCTGCTCTTGAGAGGCAATTGGCCCCTGCATCCAAAAATGTCAATTCTAAAGACAGCAGCAGAAAAGTGGGGTTTGTGAGTGCTGGGGTGGAGTCCCAGACTGATGGAGGGATGAAACCAGTTGCCACCGAAGACATTGATCTGCCAGAAGAAAGTGATTCTGAAGATGAAGAAAGAGTTGAAATTGCATAGAAAGATGTTCCTACTGCTGCATTTGGAGGTCTTGCCAGGAAGAGAGACGATGGTGACAGAGATGGGGAAGATGATACTGTACCAGCCAAAGATAGGGAAAGTGAGAGTCGTCTAGGAGCCCTTGAGAGAATAAAGAGGCAGAAAAAAACTTGATTTTAGTTACTAACCTTGTCTAATTTTGATTCCTGATATCTTTTGTTCATTTACGACGCTTGTACTCTTTAAGCATTTCTAACATGCATTAAGCCGGTGCCTGCCTGAATTTGTCGAGATTATTAGTAATTCCAATTCTTGAGATTATTGCCCCTGCAACCAAAGTGCTGAACCTGCACTTGTTTTTCTTCAGCTCCTACGTGTACTTATGAAAAATAACCAGCTATTTTGTACTTGCTCCTGGAACATTACAATCCTTATCCATCGAAGATAATTTTTTCTGGTGAAGTAAATGCATTAATTCCAATTTGGTGCAATTTTCACGTTCTCAACTATTTTTATACAATAAGAGATGATGAAAGAAAGATAAAAGAACAACCACAAAATTTCACTGGAAGAGCCAAGTAGAAATTTTACTACGTGGAGAAATGAATATAATTGCTAAAACCTCGTCCCTAGCTTCGATAGAAGCTTCCCAATACACCCATCTCACAACGCTCTTTTGTACTCAATAGCAAATGCATCCATTATTGCAATCAAAATTCAAGACAGCGTAAGCAAGTTTAACTTGGCCTTCCACGTTTCATGTCTGTTAGTTAGCAACTAATTTGACAGAATATGACACTTGATCGCCTTAAATATTTATCCATCTTCCACTTTGCATTGATTGATCTTGGTGAAATTGCTTCACTTTGGAAACTTGCCATATCATCACTGGGTTGCCAGCGCAAATGACACTGCTTGTGTTGGCTGAGTTGTCAGGAGAGATGCGACCTATGTTGGAAAGTGGGTTCAAATCTCTTCACCACCCTTTCAAGACAAAAAACATATTGAGCAAATCACGTTCGCCACCACTGGGTCTACAATACTATACCATTGATCTCCATGGGTAGCTACTGGTTGTCATGGTTGACTCTTTCTGTTTTCATCTTGCATTCCCTACTGTTCATTTGTTAAAACATGAGAATTTTGATGTCAATTACAGGAGCATCACAAAGTAGCATTGATAATAGAAATGAGAAATAAGAAGAAATGAAGAAAACATATCTATTTTAAATGAATTTCAAGCTTAATCATAATTCTACTCAAAACATACCTTTAAGGAGTTAGTCACGATAGGTTGAGATGTCCCTAGAGTCTGAGCTACAGCTTAGTTGATGACAACTCAACAGAAAGAGACCTACGAATTGGAAGCCCAGGAGCAACTACGAATCAGCTGGCATTCTTTGAAACAAATTGAACTTAGAAGTGATTTACCTAGTCAAGGTATAAGAGACTGATCAACATCTTGTCGTTCTTCCAGCTGACTAAAATTGAGCACCTCCAAGAGATTTAAACCTTATGGTCCAATAACTTTTAAAGGAAGAATCTTAATTAGTTTTACCATAAGACTATGCTCATTGTACTAATTAACAAAAGATTAAAAAATCAGAAAGCCCATGCTTAAATGCTTGAGACTCAGGGAACATACCAGAATCATTCTTAATTTCTCTTGATGACAGTGCCTTTGTAATTGCTTTTTGCTTGTTCAATGAGCATTGGTTGTGTTTCAAGGCCAATGGATGGCCTACAATCACAGCAATCAAACCCTATTGAAACCATGACACCTAAAAGAACTCTAATCCATGTTTTGCATTCCTGTGGAAAAATTAAAACAACCAACGATCTAGATCATAACCACAAACAGTAGTCTAGAAAATTAAAAAAAATCAATGCCTTAAATTAACCAAAAATTCAAAAGTTAATTACACTAGCCTGCTTTCCATTTCTGTCTCCACAATCTGAATCCCCCTTAGTTGTAGATTCTTCCAAGTTTGAATTCAAAATTTATTATATTTACAAGTCTGCAACTATATATATTAAGAAATGGGAAGTGAGCTGGTGCTGAATTATAGGAATGTAATGAAGGAACCTGATAGTTAGTACCAAATGAAAATTATAAGTTGTCAAACACCAGTCATTTGATTGATAAAAAAATACTTCTAAAATTGAAGTATAACATCACAAAAAGAAGTGGAAAACAATGAGAGAATAAAAAGCTCACAAAATTTTAAATGAGGAAAGCGTCATATCATAGAGATGCAGCAAATTTTGAGAGAAAAGTTTACAAGGAAAGCATAGCTTACCTGAATTCATGTATGGATCTTATAAAAATCAAAAGGTATCCATGGTTTTTGAGATGATTGTGCTGCTTGGTTCTTTGGCTTTTCAGCAAGTTGTCACCAACATAACTTCTGCTCATAGATTGAAAGAAGGGTTTTAGAGATTGATTACTTGCAGGTTAATTTCAAGAATTAGAGACCCGTAAAATGATGTAGCTTTTATACACAACATACATTATCCACACATCAGATAAGTGAATCTTATACAGAATGAGATAACTCCTGAATGCGTTCATAATACTTGTTTGAGCAACTTCATTTTTTACAATTGTATCCTCTTTTATGCCTGGCTAAAACCAGAGTTTTGTTATTTTCACCCTACACAAATAAATAATTTATTAAGAGAAGGTGAAAATACTTTACAAATGTTAAAAAAATCAACAGCAACCTTCCTCAATCCTCATAGTTAAGTTGGCAGAAGAAAGAAGTGATGCACTATTAGAATAAGACTTGTGAGTTCAATGGTAAACTTTGATGCTATTCTGTTGGAGCAATGGCATCAATGCTGTGATGTTGCTATCACAAAACGGCAAAATGGTGCAGCAAGTAGCTGCACTTATGGGACAAAATGTGCAGCAACAAAGCTGCTTCAATAGAGGAAAGAAAAGTGCGGCAAACTGTTGCATTATGTAAGAAAATGAAATGCAAATGCAAATGCAAATGTGAGATGTGAATGAAATGCAAATGGAGGCTGCAAATTAATCAACACAAGTGCAGAAATGTGATAGTGTTTTAATGAACATTTTTATGTTAGTTTATGTATTACAATCCTTGATTTAAAAGTTAGGATAGATTTTGTAGGAAACATGTGACCATAAATCATGGAAACTAGGAGAAAAATACTGTTTTTATGTTGAATTTTCTGCTATAAATGGACAGACATGTTAATGGAAATATAAGAGAGTTGGAGAACAACTTCTCCTCTCCTCCTGTTTGGGTGAATGTCTGCACCCTTCAATGTTTATGTTCTACATCATGTTCTAAGTTCTACTCTTCTCATACTTTCCTCCAAGTCCTCTCTCAACCCCTTCTTCTTACTTCAAAAATCTAACATACTCATTACCAATTGCATAATACAAAGTCTAACCTCACAATCAGCATTGAAGTCTGTGGTCTGGGTTGGGCTACCAAGCCATGATGCCTGCCTTCACGTTTTGAACCTTGGTTTTACTATCTGTTTTATTAGTTTCTGCAACAAAGGAAGCGTCTCAACCCTGTAGTCCATGCTGGTAATTGCTCACTATCATCATCCTGATGCAGCAAACTAGGAATTTAAAATGGTAGTAGAGCATTTGAATCGAGAAATTATTATTATAACATTTTAAAACTTGAAATTACATATACTGAAAGGGAAAATAAATTATCAACTTAATTTGCTTTTGAATTGTAGGTAACAATGGTAATAGATAAATAATTTGGTTTTAGTTGCTAAGTACTATAAATAAGTAGAAACAATAAAAAAGATTCAGCAGTAGTACCTAAAAGATTGAAAGAAGGTAAATGCATAATTGAAATCAATCAGGAAGACAAGGGAATTAAAGAAAAAAGATTTACTATTATATATAGTTAAAGGCTGAAGATACCTCAATGGGAGCTCCTTCCCGTTGGATCCATCTGGAGTCTATTAAGATGTTTCGAATGTGAGAGATGCTGTCCCACTCGGAACCACTTCTTCTGGTGCATCTTTCCTTTAATTCAGGGCATCCATGAATATCAAGACTTTCTAATTTGGAGATGCATCGGATGGCTTTCATATGTTTCAGAGATTTGCAGTTGGAAATCCCCAGAGTTTGAAGAGAGGATAAGTTTCCAAACCAATTCGGCAAAGCTTCCAGTCCATCAAAATCCCTTATTCCGAGAAACTTAAGGGCAGTTAGGTGTTGAATTTGATCCAGCAGACGTTCTCTTGGTTCTCCCCATGCAATCAAAGTCAATACTTCAAGATGAGATCCGATCAAGCCCAGATCTGGAAATTCCTTGAGCTTTGTTGAGAAACCACCAATAGTCAGCCTCTTCAAGCGAGCAAGGCAGGCAAGGTTAGGGGTGCTCCAGCTCCTCCTCAAATCATCTGGAATAGAGATTAGATTATCACAGTTGGAGATATCCAATTCCTCAAGAGCAGTGCATGATGGCAACCCACTTGGCAAACTTCTTAATCCACCACAATCCCTTATCGATAAAGTCTGAAGAGATGAAAGTGCATGAAGGTTCGGAAAGGACATCAAACTGTTGCACCAACTTACAGTCAACTCTTTGAGACACGTGACAGTAGAAAAATCCTCTCCTATGCTTTTCAATTGCCCACACCAGCCTATTTCAATTTTTTGAAGAGAGGACAGCCCATGGAGGTTCGGAAAGGACATCAAACCATTGCACTCCTTTACAGTCAACTCTTTGAGACACGTGGCAGTAGATAAATCCTCTCCTATGCTTTTCAATTGCCCACACCAGCCTATTTCAATTTTTTGAAGAGACGAAAGCCCATGGAGGTTCAGAAAGGACATCAAGCCGTTGCACTTGGTTATAGTCAACTTTTTGAGACACGTGGCAGTAGATAAATCCTTTCTTATGCTTTTCAATTGCCTACACGCGCCTATTTCAATTTTTTGAAGAGAGGATAGCCCATGGAGGTTCGGAAAGGACATCAAACCATCGCACGACCATATAGTCAACTCTTTGAGACATGTGGCAGTAGATAAATCCTTTCCTATGCTTTTCAATTGCCCACAATCAATTATTTCAATTTTTTGAAGAGAGGACAACCCATGGAGGTTCGGAAAGGACATCAAACCATCACACGACCATATAGTCAACTCTTTGAGACACGTGGCAGTAGATAAATCCTCTCCTATGCTTTTCAATTGCCCACAGCAGATTATTGCAATTTTTTGAAGAGAGGACAGCCCATCTACACTGGACATGGACATCAAGCTATAACAATTCTTAATATTTAACTCTTGTAAACACGTGGAGGTAAATGGAGCATCATCTCCAATCATCTTCAATTCCGTGCATTGTTGAAGTTCAAGTACCTCAAGGGATTGTAATTTACTAATCATTGAAAGATTTTCCAATTTACCACAATTCTTTATATGTACTTCTTTGAGAGACTTCATGGCAGCTTGTCCAACCTCTACCCCAACCAGTTCTTCACATTTCTTAATGATGAGTTTCTGAAGGGACGAATCTGCAATGCTTTTCAAATTCTTGCAATAATTAATTTCCACCTTTGCCTCCTTGCTGAGTGACAATGATGGAATGCTTTCCAACCAGGGACATGCAAAAAAGGTCATGAACATCAGATTTTTGAGAAAATTTTTTGTTTCTAACATCCATGAAGGACAGCTTTTACCACAGTAGCGTTCAATAGTTAGGCCTTTCAAATTTGAATGAGGTTGGAGGTCTTCCAAGATATCTTCATCATGTTTGCATCTACCTTCACTGCCACTGGATTCCTCACTCGACGGTGATTGCCGGTCTTGAATTGTACGCTTTTTACCAAACACCAATTGCAACTCTTGAATTGTAGCCTTTTTAGAAAGTCCTGCTCCCATGGCTTCTTTTTTGTGTCTAACCATATCCAAATTGCAAATCTCTAATTTTCCCCTGAGTTGGCTTAAACATCCCAGTTCTTCAATTTGACGTCCCTTCTGTTGGCCCACAGCAAATAATTGTAATGTTCTCAAATAAGTTAGTCTACCAATCCTTGCTGGCATAAGCGGTTGCTGATTGAAATAAATGTGTCTCAAATTGACTAATTTCCATATTCCTTCCAAAGGCCTTTTGATTCTCCAACAATCCAAAAATCTAAATGTCCGCAAATGATAGAGCTTGGTGATGAATTTGGGAAGTTCTTTGATTCTAGTTTGCGAAACATCCAAGAACCTTAAATGCTTCATTTTACCCAAAAAAGCTGGCAACTCATCAATATCAGCACCGTAGAAACTGAGAACTCGCACCTTTATGAAGTTTCTAAGCTTATTTTGAAAGACATCAACTTGTGAAAATATGGTACACAGTTCCCCTATTTCCATTTTTGGCATACCCTCCTCAGAAATGAGATTCAAATGCCGAATGTCTAAAGGAATATCACTACTACTACCATCCTCCAAATGTTGAATGTCTGCAGGAATATCAACATTAGCATCGCAGAAACTGAGAACTCGCACTTTTATGAAGTTTCTAAGCTTATTTTGAAAGACATCAACTCGTGAAAACAAGGTACGCAGTTTCCCAATTTCCATTTTTGGCATACCCTCCTCAGAAATGAGATTCAAATGCCGAATGTTTGAAGGAATATCACTACTACTACCATCCTCCAAATGCTGAATGTCTGCAAGAGTATCACTACTACTACTACGATCCCAAATCAACGTTTGAGACTCTGAAACAAATTGTGCTAGATCATGTATTAAATCATGCATTTTGCAAGAAATAATATTGCCATAAGAGTCTTTTACTGCATCTTGAAATAACGAGTATGAGAACAAGTCATTGAAATACTTGCCACCAATATCTTCCATCTCCTTGTAGCTTTTTCTAAATGGTTGAAGATATCCTGCAAGAAATAATACTGCCATAAGAGTCTTTTACTACATCTTGAAATAAGGAGTATGAGAAAAAGTCATTGAAATACTTGCCACCAATATCTTCCATCTTGTAGCTTTTTCTAGACGGTTGAAGATATCCTTCACCCATCCAGAGCTGGATTAACATCTCCTTTTCCATGACAAAGTCTTTGGGGAAAATAGAGCAAAAAGCAAAACATTGTTTTAAAGCAGGTATTGGCAACCGATCAAAACTTAATTGTAATACACGCAAAACTCCATCAGCATTTTCTATTGAATCCCATACTTCCTTGTCATCTCTAATTGATGTCCAATAATCTTTGTTTATATTATTGCACAATGTCCCCCCTACAACATTTGCAACTAATGCCACACCTTTACATTTCTCAGCAATGTTCCTTCCAATACTCTCCAATTCCTCCAATTCCAAAGAATTAGGAGAGTTGCCAAATGCTTTAAGCCTGATAATAGACCAACAATCCTCTTTTGTTAGCTTGTCAAGATGCATGTGCTTGGCTCCCATTATGGAATCTACTTTCTTAATTCTAGTTGTGACAAGAACTCTACTCCCACCCCTTTTACCTATTCCCAACAAACATTTTTTTAAGTTATCCCATTTCAGCTGTTCTTCATTCCATACATCATCTAGAATGAGGAGATAGTTTTTCTCCTCAATCTCTTCAGAAGAGTTTTTTTGCACAAACTTTTCTTTAAGTTTCTGAACTACAGCTTCTTTATCTTCAAAATTCACATGACCTTTCTCATTAGTGATGAGAGATTTCAGCATCATTGCTAATATTTTTTTCTCATCAAAATTTTCAGAAACACAAACCCACATCTTTTTGTAAAAATGTTTCTCTATCAACTCATTGTTGTACACTAGTTTTGCCATGGTAGTTTTGCCTATCCCTCCCATACCAACTATGGATACAACAAGGAGAGGTTGATCATTACTTGAATCAATCAACAGCTGAACTATTTCTAGGACTTTCTTGTCTCTTCCTACAACCATCCATGGATCACCAAGTGAGGAATTTGTCTGTTGGATTCCTACATGTTCAGGAAGCCTGTTTGCGAGTCTATGTTGAAGCCCTAGTCCAGTGGCCCAATCATTAAGGCTAGCTAGATCTAAATTCAAATCCTTAATCCTATTAGCTATCTTAAGGCGAAAAGCTAAAGGATTGGAGAGAGTAAAGAAATAGCTGACCTTTTTCCACATTTGTTTTTGAGCCACCTTGTACCTTAGATGTTCATATGCAATCTCATCCACCACATTGTCAGCTTCATCAACTATATTTCCAAGCTCCTTAAGCCAAGGTTGCAGATCAGAGTGACCTGTCACCTTCTTCTCTTCTGCATCTTGCAGCACCCCCCTGACCATGCTCAACACCACACGGAACTTCTTGAGCTCTTGCTTGAATCCCACTGCTAAGTTAAGTTGCTCAGTAGTAGCTGAAATCACCTTGGATATTGTGAC